AAGCCACCCCCGTGAGCACAGAAGGAGTCGGGGTCGCAACTGGGCCCGACGCCCCCGGAGTCTCCTGCTGGGGAGGGGCAGCCACGGGGGAGGACGGGGCGGGTAGGGCCGGGTTAGCCGGGTCGGGCATGGCCGGGTCAGCCGGGTCGGCCGAGCCGGGGGAGGGGGCGAAGATGCCGGGGGTAGTACCGTCGGGGGAGCGCGGCGAAGATGCCGGGAAGACCTGAAGGCTTGCGTCCGAGGCGTCGAGGCAGTCGTCATTAGGGGGCAGGGGATCCGCTGCGCAGGAACGGCCGGCCCCGGTCACGCCCCTAGCAGTCGGAGCGGGAGGCTGGTCGTGCGGGCTGTCCTCGAAGTCGTCCTCGTGCGGGCTGTCCTTTCTCTTATATATATGGGAAATCATTTCTCATTGGCTTTTTTTAACGAACTTCGCAACAAATATGTTAACTTGGCAAGTAATATTAACAGGACAAAGGTAACTACTAAATGAGTGGTATTAGCAGAACCAATATAACTTCTAAATGAGTGTCATTAACAGGGCCAAGGTAGCGTGTTTGATGTGCTCTTTGTTTTCAAAAAAATGCTGTCAGTTTCAACTTCTAGTGAAGAGTGGAGCTCCAAACTGAAATAACACAAAGTAACACACATTAATCGTGCCCAGATTTGACTTTGTTTGATTCTTTCCTCTTAAGTTTAGCAATCTAAACAAAAGGTAACAGTGGAACACCATGCATGCTGATTTCACTGAAGGAACCCCCCTGTCCACAGTTGTATGTACAAGAGATAATAATAACAGTTTCAAGTGTACCAAAACAGAGCGGCATCAATATTCATCTTTGATGGATAAATGGTTTCACACGTGAGGTGATAAACGGAGAGAAGAGATAAAAATGCAGATAATTTGAAAGATATTTAATGCCTCCTTATGTTGCTTTAGTCTTGAGTTTTTGGTCGTTCGGAGGTTGTAAGCTGGATCATGTGGACTGGTGGGCGGTTGTATTTTTCTCTCTATCTTAATAATATACATGCAGTCCTCCTGCATGGTTCAAAAAAAAAACATTTACCAGCATAAGAAGCTAACAAGTGACGACGACAATTATTACATGAAGGAAAGAGTTTTATGTGACTAGGTTCAGTCATATAACTGCATTACACACGAAAGGATGGCTTACAAGCTTCGATGGTTGAACATCACTGTTGACAACCACGAAAAGGAATGCAACTGTACACCAGCAGATGATAACCAAATTTGATAGTCATATAACTGCATTACACACGAAAGGATGGCTTACAAGCTTCGAGTAGATGAAGGACTTATGTAATCCATGGCTGGAAACTAGAAGGTATATATGACCCAACCCAACAGCTGAGTTTCCTGACCGCACCGGAGCCATGCCAACTTGGCAAATACGAAGCCCCTCCAAATTTCACTGAGCATCAGATGGCCGTTCCGCAAAACAGGGAACGTATGGCTGAAGGTTTACAATACCATAGTTTCCAAGAGTGCAGATACTATGCAATTTCTGGGTATCCATATCATACGACATAAGTGTCTGTTCCGATTCCACCCCTCCACTAAGGAAAATTAGGTTCTGTTCCGGATGGATTGCAACCAAGGTGTAGTGCTCACCGTGCTCTAGACAAGGCCTTTCTAGCAGCTCCAAAATGCTGGCAGTGTGCTTTAAGGTCCACTGTCCACTAGCATAGTTCTCAAGAGCCCAAACTGATAGCAGACAACCGTTACCATGATCTATCTGCATACCATACAAGCACCCCAGAGATTGTCCGATAAAAGTAAAATCAACTTTGGGCGGTTGTGGAATTTTCCTCCACGTATTGCCAGACGTGTCTATGGTAACTATCGAGCGTGTTGTGACCCCATCCGAGTCAAATGTGTCCTCCTCGGAATCATAGGCAATGAAATGCAGAGTGTCATTTAAGAAAACATATCCTTCGCCACCAAACACCCGAATCCATTCACCCCATCCGCTCGGCATGGAAGTCCATTTTCGGGTATCCGATGTGTATACCTCTACCATACTTATGTCGTAGAAACCAGGAATGAAGATGAATACTGCAAAACGGTGAGGTACGGCGGGGTCGAAACACAAGCAGAAGGTGTAGTGTCGCGGAGCTCCCTTCTCTTGCGTGTGAGGCACACTCACCGCAGCCCAAATCTCCTCGGTGGCAGGGTTGCACACGACGTATTCCGAGCGTTTGGTGGCCTGATTCCAGCCTTGGCAGAGGAGAATGCCGGCGCAGCAGTCTAGGAGACAGACGTAGTCGTGGTCGCACAAGAAACAGAGAGAGGGGTCGACCAGCGGCTGGCCTTTTCCGGATAGGTTGATGAAGCTGTTGTTGCCGCTGCCGGAGAGGCCGAAGAAGCCGGAGAGCGTCTGGGGCGACCTCTTGAGGACAGCTGGGTCGTAGCAGAGAATGAACCACGCCGTGGACACGCACTTGAGGCGGCAGAGCGACCGGTACGGCACCTTCGACAGGATCTCCCGGAAGAGGTCGTTGGGGAGGCCCTCTATCGCCTGCTCCTCCTCCTCCTCCTCCTCCTCCTCCTCATCATCATCATCATCATCATCATCATGCTCCTCCTCCTCCTCCCCCTCCTCCTGCTCCTGCTCCTGCTCCTCCCCCTCCTCCTCCTCCTCCTTGTTCCCCATCCCGTATCCGGCCTGCTGCTGCGGCTGCGAACAGTTAGTTCGTTTAGAGTTGAGATGTCCTCCTCCTTGGATCGAAGACCAGAATAAGAAGAAGAAGAAGATGGGGGAGAGGACGGAAGCAAACCTCACACCCAAGCGCGACGGGAAGTGACGGCGGCGACACGCGGCGGCGATGGCTGGCGGAGACGAGCTGCCCGGAACCCAAGGGCCAAGGTGCGGGGAAAATGAACTGAGTTGGAATGACCGTGGAAAGAAAAAGAAAGCCAAGAGTGCGCCACGTACCGCCACTGCCTTCTGATTGGAGGCCCAAAGCTCACCATACATCAAATTATTTATGTGCATGTTACTTTCACGATTTTTATTTACTTGTATATTTGAGCAAATGGACTTTCTGCTGGGTACTTTTGGTACCTAATTGTTTTATTTATTTTGGGTAATAAACTTTGGCGTGGAGGCTGGTTCTTGCTTGTAGTTGAAGTCCGTTTTGTTTTGTTTTGTTTCTTTTCGTTTTCTCTTTTTGGTTATTAGTGCTAGTCCCACCAAGTGCATATTCGTATGTTAATAATTTTTATTTATGTTTCAAAAGTAAAGGAGTTACAATATGTATTACATGTAATTTTGGAGTTGCTAAAAAAAGTAATTTTGGCGTTCAGCGGGTATAAGTTTTACTAATATGGCAAGTATACACTCACATGTTCTCCGAATAGTTTCTGATGAAAGGTGATAATCGTTCCGACTTTGTGCTTCCTTTCTTCATCTGTGCAGAATATTTCGGTAAATTACTTTATGACTTTATGTGCCTGTGCAAGTAACAGCATGCCCTTAGCTATGCCACAGCAGTCAGCATCATACGCAGATAGGTACAGAGTAGAGCAAGATCCTAAATATAACTCCATTCAAAATAACCATGAGCGCAACAGCTCCGGCGGATTCAAAATCATCCATCGATGAAGAGACCAATTTCCCCTCGTCTCATTATATATGGCATAGCGTTTTACCCCACCCTGCAGAGATTTGTATTCTTCGCAAGTTTAGACCATCTCAGAAGCTAATTGCGTCGTGCTATGATGATACTGAACTAACAACTTTTTAAATGTAAAGAGGAAACACTTGCGCAATCAGGGTAACGATTTGGGCAGCAGCCTTGCTCAACAAAAGTCAATTTTGTCGAAACGAAGTCACTCAGAACCATTGAGTAGCAGTGTGAACAGAGTTCAGTTTACATGTTTACGAACTCGGCGCACAATTCAGAATGAAAAATTCCAACGGATGATAAAATTCCACAACTTCATTATGGACAGTAAACTCTCATTATGTTCAGAAATTGATTTCACTAATGGAACCTCGTTATCTCTATATACAACAATCTAGAGAAGTCAACGCGAACGTATAATTATATTACTACAAAAGGAGGAGGTAACCATTTCAAATGAAAATGAATGAACAAAACTTTCAAATGCATCAAAAATAAGATGGCACCAATATATAACTTTGTCGGGATAGCAAGTACTACTAGACATAACCCTGAATAAATGGACAGAGAGATATGAAAATGCAGATAATTTCAAAGAAATATAATAGCCATTGTCGCACATTTACCCACATGAGAAGCTAACAATAACAAGTGACCATGATAATTAGTACATAAATGGGAGAAGATTAAATGATTTGGTTCATTCATATTACTAGACATAACCCATCAAAGGGTGGCTTACAAGTTCTCGCTGCCTAGCCAACAAAACATTGTTCAAAGCCATAAAAGCACATGCAATTGGAAGTCAACTGATATGAAAACCAAATTGGAGTAGATGTCGGACTTGTCCAATCCACTGCCCAAAACTAGAAGATCTGGACCATACCCAACAGCCGACTTCCATGAAAGATATAAAGCTGCTCTGAAATTCAGCAAGCACCTGACGGAGACCATTCCGCAAAACAGGAAACATGAGGTTGTAAAGTTTCCATCGGGACAACAGAGCAGATAACATGCAGCTTTCGGGTATCCATATCATACGCCATCAAGGAAAATCAGGTTACATTCTGGATGGATTGCAACCAAGGTGTGTTATATCCATGGATCGGGTAGGCTAGATGATTCGCGGTACTTCTTACCTTCTCCTTGTGTCTAGAGGGGCTCCGGTTGCCGGCTATGGCGCCAGTGCCGGTGTGATGGCAGAGAGTGGTGGTGGCGGTGCTTCCCATCAGCACTGCACTAACCCTAAATCGGTAGGGGATTAGGTGGGGTGTACGGCGCTGCGACGAACCTCATAATGCGAGCCGCCGGCCCCCACCTCTTTATATAGTGCAGGTGACAGGGGCCCGTCAACCATAGTGGGTTGAGCGCCCCCGATCAGGGCGTAGATCTAAGGGCCCGGTGGGCCGTTGGGCCCACACGATGGAGATCATCCTAACATTCACCCCCTTGATCTCAACTTTTACTTTTGACCTTATATTTTTACTTTACTCGTTTCATAACAGATCAATACATAGAACATGTTTCATCGTCACAGCTCAATTGCCGATAGAATCAGACAGCCACAACGTACCTCTCTGTTTTGAAACAAATTCTTTAACCTTGGGCCATTTTATTGTCCGGAAATTTTAGACTATACTATAAAACCCATGTCGACTGTGTGTTCTCCGAACACACTGGGCGGTAAGCCTTTAATAAGCAGATCTTCAAACACTTGTCTGTTGCTTTTATGCTTCAAGCATTTTTACATAATTTCGGACTTTCTCCTTTACACTGTGTCAGTGTGTTTGGCATCAATACTTGACTCGTTGTCATAGGAGCAAAAGACTTAAAATAGTTATCGCTGTTGTCAACCATTATCAACTCCGGGTACAGATCTTCATAATCATTTTGCCTGTCCCCCAGCCTCATATCAAGCTATAATATATCTTTGCATCACATTGATGATAATTGTTGAAGGAAATATGTCCTAGAGACAATAATAAAGTTATTATTTATTTCCTTATATCATGATAAAAGTTTATTATTCATGCTAGAATTGTATTAACCGGAAACATAATACATGTGTGAATACATAGACAAACAGAGTGTCACTAGTATGCCTCTACTAGACTAGCTTGTTAATCAAAGATGGTTATGTTTCCTAACCATGGACAAAGAGTTGTCATTTGATTAACAGGATCACATCATTAGTTGAATGATCTGATTGACATGAACCATTCCATTAGCTTAGCACCCAATCGTTTAGTATGTTGCTATTGCTTTCTTCATGACTTATACATATTCCTATGACTATGAGATTATGCAACTCCCGTTTGCCAGAGGAACACTTTGTGTGCTATCAAACGTCACAACGTAACTGGGTGATTATAAAGGAGCTCTACAGGTGTCTCCAAAGGTACATGCTGGGTTGGCGTATTTCGAGATTAGGATTTGTCACTCCGATTGTCGGAGAGGTATCTCTGGGCCCTCTCGGTAATGCACATCACTTAAGCCTTGCAAGCATTGCAACTAATGAGTTAGTTGCGGGATGATGTATTACAGAACGAGTAAAGAGACTTGCCGGTAACGAGATTGAACTAGGTATGGGATACCGACGATCGAATCTCAGGCAAGTAACATACCGATGACAAAGGGAACAACGTATGTTGTTATGCGGTCTGACCGATAAAAGATCTTCGTAGAATATGTAGGAGCCAATATGAGCATCCAGGTTCCGCTATTGGTTATTGACCGGAGACGTGTCTCGGTCATGTCTACATTGTTCTCGAACCCGTAGGGTCCGCACGCTTAAGGTTACGATGACAGTTATATTATGAGTTTATACATTTTGATGTACCGAAGGTTGTTTGGAGTCCCGGATGTGATCACGGACATGACGAGGAGTCTCGAAATGGTCGAGACATAAAGATTGATATATTGGAAGCCTATGTATGGATATCGGAAGTGTTCCGGGTGAAATCGGGATTTTACCGGAGTACCGGGAGGTTACCGGAACCCCCCGGGAGCTATATGAGCCTAAGTGGGCCTTAGTGGAAAAGAGAAGGGGCAGCCCAAGATGGGCCGCGCGCCCCTCCCCTCCCTTCGTCCGAATAGGACAAGGAGAGGGGGCCGGCCCCCCCTCTCTCTTTTCCCCCCTCCGCGAATCCTATTCCAACTAGGATTGGGGGGGGGGGGGATTCTACTCCCAGAGGGAGTAGGACTCCTCCTGGCGCGCCTCTCCTAGGACGGCCGCACCCCCCCCCCTTGAGCCTTTATATACGAAGGCAGGGGCACCCCAGAGAAACACAAGTTGATCCACGTGATCATATTCTTAGCCGTGTGTGGTGCCCCCTTCCACCATAGTCCTCGATAATATTGTAGCAGTGCTTAGGCGAAGCCCTGCTACAGTAGTACATCAAGATCGTCACCACGCCATCGTGCTGACGGAACTCTTCCCCGACACTTTGCTGGATCGGAGTCCGGGGATCGTCATCGAGCTGAACGTGTGCTAGAACTCGGAGGTGCCGTAATTTCGGTGCTTGATCGGTCGGGCCGTGGAGACGTACGACTACATCATCCAAACGCTTCCGTTGTCGATCTACAAGGGTACGTAGATCACACTCTCCCCCTCTCGTTGCTATACATCACTATGATCTTGCGTAAGCGTAGGAATTTTTTTCAAATTACTACGAAACCCAACAGTGGCATCCGAGCCTAGGTTTTATATGTTGATGTTATATGCACGAGTAGAACACAAGTAAGTTGTGGGCGATATAAGTCATACTGCTTACCAGCATGTCATACTTTGGTTTGGCGGTATTGTTGGACGAAGCGGCCCGGACCGACATTACGCGTACGCTTACGCGAGACCGGTTCTCCCGACGTGCTTTGCACATAGGTGGCTTGCGGGTGACAATTTCTCCAACTTTAGTTGAACCAAGTGTGGCTACGTCCGGTCCTTGCGAAGGTTAAAACAGCACCAACTTGACAAACTATCGTTGTGGTTTTGATGCGTAGGTAAGATTGGTTCTTGCTTAAGCCCGTA